CCCTCCCCTGCTCACGCTGTCTCTCTCTCTCTCTCCTAGAAATAAATAAAAATATTAAAAATATATATATATAAAATAAAGAACAAAATATCCTTAAAAAAAAACATTTAAAAATTTTTTTAAATGTTTATTTATTCTTGGGTTGGGAAGCAGAGAGAGAGGGAGACATAGAATCCGAAGCAGGCTCCAGGCTCTGAGGTGTCAGCACAGAGCCCGACACAGGGCACCAACCCATGAGCTATGAGATCATGACCTGAGTTGAAGTCGGATGCTTAACCGACTGAGCCACCCAGGTGTCCCAAAAAGAGATTTTTAAAAAGAGACAAAATGTTGCTGAAATGATCTGTCTTGATATAAGCATCTGCATCCTTGTTGACCCCCTGGGAATTTGATCATTGCTACAAATTTCTTATTGTCTTGGATACATGTTTCTACAGAGACCTGGCTAAAACTCTTCCAAGAAGAATAGCAGTGATAATTATAGCAGACTTGTTAGATTTGCCTACAGACTTGTCTGTCACAGTGTTGCTGAATAATAGAGTAGTGAGCCTTTAATGTACAGTACTTGAAGTTATTTAGTGGTTCTGTTTTTTTCATATTCCTTTAGTTTAACTCAAAAGTTTGAGTAAACAGGGGCGCCTGGGTGGCTTAGTCGGTTAAGCGTCCGACTTTTGCTTAGGTCATGATCTCGCGGTTCGTGGGTTCAGGCCCCGCGTCGGGCTCTGTGCTGACTGCCAGCTCAGAGCCTGGAGCCTGTTTCAGTCTGTGACTCCCTCTCTGTCTGACCCTCCCCTGCTCACGCTGTCTCTCTCTCTCTCTCTCCTAGAAATAAATAAAACATTAAAAANCAGTGATAGAGACGAATTCATGTATGTCCTTAATCACAGTCAATGTAAGTGGAATAACTTGAAAAACAAAGAGTTTGTCAGCTACGTGAAGTTTACAAGAAACACGATTAAAAACAAGGATGCAGACACTTTTAAAGTACAATAGCAGAGGGGCGCCTGGGTGGCTTAGTCGGTTAAGCGTCCGACTTTCGCTTAGGTCATGATCTCGCGGTTCGTGGGTTCGGGCCCCCCGTCGGGCTCTGTGCTGACTGCCAGCTCAGAGCCTGGAGTCTGTTTCAGTCTGTGACTCCCTCTCTCTCTGACCCTCCCCTGCTCACACTGTCTCTCTCTCTCCTAGAAATAAATAAAACATTAAAAAAAAAAAAATTTTAAACCGTTATGTAATTTCATTCAAAACATATGCATAAAGTTCCTTCTATTTAGAAAGCAATGTACTAGGTGCCAAGAGGGCAAGAGGCAAAGCAGATCTGTCCTTGATCTCAAGAATCTTTCTATCAAGTAGAATTTATAAAATTGTGTTATGATAAAGGAAGTGACCTATGCTGATTGGGAATAGGGCCAGGGCAGTCCAGGAAAGGGTTCTATAAGGAGGTGGTCTTTCTTGGAGTCTTGAAAGGTGAATAGATTGAGGAAGGGATAAAATATATGGTATATCAAGGATATTAAAAAAATATATGGTATATCAAGGGAGTAGAAACTGGTAATGGCATAATTTTGGAGTTTCTCTTTTCATGTCAAAATTCTATGGAGTTAGGCTTCTCCCTATCAGAGAGGGAAGTTAAATAAAAGAAATGCTAGAATGAATCTTGTGATACTAGATTATTTGATGCTAGATGTGTGTGTGTGTGTGTGTGTGTGTGTGTATAAACAGGTAGATAAATAAATATACATACATATGTGTGTATACATATATACATGTATATATGTATATATATATGTATGTATTCCTGGTTCTGTCCCCTAAGAGAGCCCAGAAGCAGTGATACCTCAGTAGTAATGAAAATATGTAGTGTCCAGATATGGTTTCTCCAATAAAAGGAATCAAGACTCCTTGGAGTACTTGATTCTAGGCCTAGGGGCCAGGCAAATACAAGACAAGTTTGGGACATCTTATAGTGCTAGAAAGTAAGAATGTGCTAAAAAAAAAAAAAAAAAAAAAGTTGGTGGCATATTGAAAGGCACTAGAGACAAGCTGAAAGAGCTCCAAATAACCAAAGCTAGGAACAATTTGAGCAACAAAATAAAATTACCCAGGGAATAGAATAATACAGGAATTATTATAACTCAGGAAATAAAATAAGTATCATGAGTCTATCCTAATATAAATAAATGATTGCATAAATAAATAAACAAGAAAGAACAATTCTTCCTAATAGAAGAATCCCAAATAAAAAATGCAGAAGGAATGAGGGCAAGAGAAAAATCATCATTAGAACAGCACAGTAATAATTGCTGAAGGCAATATCAGCCCATGACTGCTAAAATTAGTAAAAGTTTAAGGAGGAACAGAATTAAAGTATCTCCCTCCAAATATTTACGAATTATAAAGGGAAACATAGTAGCTTTACAGTGGTGAAACCTGGCAGACACTTCCTTAACCAAATGATCAGGGTTAACATCAGCATTAACAAGACATCAACATCACCAGCCTTCTGATACGAAGCACTGAGGAAGAAGGCACATCGTATCTATAGTATTCCTCCCAAAATTCTATAACTTCACTCTACTCTGTGAAAGCATCATAATTTAAAAAGTAAACCCCCTTTTACTTTTTAAGGATTGTAAAAAGTTCTAGGCTCTTCTGGTATTTCCCTGCCCCAGCTCTGGAATCAACTACTTCTTCAAGGAGCCCTCATTCTTTTTATTGAAGAAACCAAGAAACGCAAATTGAGGGACATTCTACCTAATACCTGACCAGTATTTTTCAAAAGTGTCATGGTCACAAAAGACAAAAACAGAGGATACTGTCATAGACCTTGGAAGAGACTTAAGAAGCCATAACCATTAAATGTAGTATAGGATTCTGGAACAGAAAAAAGCCTTTAGTGGAAAAAGTAGTAGAATTTGAATAAAGTCTATAGTTTAGATAATAGTACTGTACCAATGCTAATTTCTTAATTTTGATAATTGTGCTGTGGGACTATAAGATAAAGCTAGATGAAAGGTACATGGGAACGTTTGTACTTTATTTGCAACTCTTGTGTAAATCTAAAATTATTTCAAAAGAAGTTTTTTAAAAAGCTTAACTTTCAAAAGCTTTTTTTAAGTATGTGAATTTAGTCACTGTTTTTGTAAAAAAAATATATACGCTTAGAAATAAATGTAGTTTATATTCTGAAAAAACATTATGTGGGAACATTTTCATGTTGCTTTTATTTAAAATTTCCCTTTGCACCTTGAAGGTTTTTTATGTTTTTTTTTTTCTTTTAATCATTTGCTCCTATGGTGCCTGGCTGGCTCTGTTGGTAGAACATGCAACTTTTGATCTTGAGGTCATGAGTTTGAATCCCATGTTGGGGGTGGAGATTACGAAAAAATAAACAGGGGCCACCTGAGTGGCTTAGTCAGCTAAGCATCTGACTTCGGCTCAGGTCATGATATCACGGCTCATGGATTTGAGCCCCGCATCAGGCTCTGTGCTGACAGCTAGAACCCTGGAACCAGCTTCAGATTCTATGTCTCCTTCTCTCTCTGACCCTTCACTTTTCATGCTCTTTCTCCCTCTGTCTCAAAAAAATAAAATAAATCTTTAAAAATTTTTGAATGATAATAAACTGCAAAAGTTGCTCCCTTTTACCTACTGACATTCAAATCAGAAAGAGTTCTTGATAAAAAAAAAAAGAAAAGTTTAAAACTTTACATTCTATTTCTTGTTTTTAAATTTTTTTTAATGTTTATTTATTTTTGAGAGAGAGAGAGGGAGCATCAGTGGCTGAGGGACAGAGATCGAGGGAGACCCAGAATCTGAAGTAGGCTCCAGGCTCTGAGCTGTCAACACAGAGACTGATGTGAGGCTCAAACACGTGAAACATGAGATCACGACCTGAGCTGAAGTCAGATGCTTAGCCAATTGAGCCACTCAGTCTATTTTTTAAAATAACATTTTTTAAAGTTTATTTACTTATTTTGAGAGAGAGAGTGAGAGTGAGACAGCATGAGTGGGGGGAAGGACAGAGAGAGAGGGAAAGAGAATCCTAGACAGGCTGTCAGTGCAGAGGCCAATGTGGGGCTTGAACCCACAAAACGTGAGATTATGACCTGAGCCAAAATCAGAGTCGGACAGTTAACCAACTGAGCCACCCAGGTGCCCCAACATTTTCTTTGAATGAGTGAGTTTGTACTTTGTTCTCTCTAATTTGTGGGGGGGGGGGGGGGACTGTGTTCAGGCAACTGTGCCTCTTGCACAAGTAACCATTTCAAGAGCAAAACAAACAAACAGAAAGAGTGGGAGGGGGGAGAAAGAAAGATATGAGATTAGGAGATTAGATTTATAAGAACAGGATAATACTAGTGACAGATCATTTGCTTTTGTCTCAGCCTGGGTTCTGCAAGACAGTTTGCTTAGTTAGGTTAAGTCTGTAAATGCATTTATTAGAGTAGGTTTCCCGGAGCAGACACAGACCTCACCCTCAGCAACAGTTTAAGGAAGCAGATACCTGGGGCCAAATTTCCCAGTGAGTCATTGCCCAACCCTTAAACTTTAAAGAACCTTTGTTCAAGAGATTTTTATCAATAAGCTACAGCTCCCCATAGGACATTTAGCCATCTAACCTCAAGCTACCTAGTGTGATAAAAGAACTTTGAAGTGGGAATTAGAACTTTGGCCCTCATACTTAACTAGTTGTGGAGTTGGGGAAAATTATTGGACCATCATGTGGCTCAATTCCCTTATTATACAAAGGGTGATTTGACTACTTGATTTCTAAGCTTCCCTCTTGAAGTTAAAATCTGCCCTGTGTATCTAAAACTGAAGGCATCATCCTTAGCAAACAGTTCCCCTTTCTATGTATCCAATTATTATTTGTTATACCACTGTCCTTCCAATCTCTGAGGCTAGAAATCTTAGAGTTATTTCCGTTATATCCATTTCCTTTAACTTTTGCACACAATTGATAACCAATCCAGCCATTCTTCCCTCACAGTTGAGGTAGTGTGCTCACTTTAGTAGCACATATACTAAACTTGGGATGATACAGAGAAGATTAGCATGGCCCCTGCTCAAGGATGACACACAGTTAAAGTGGTAGTAGAATGCATTTGGCCTAAGAGGCTGGGTTTTGGAGTCTGAACTCGGCCTTCTGCTTGGGCCATATATTAGCCACATGACCCCTGGCACATTACTCAACCTCAATGAACCAAGCTGGGTTTTTTTTTGGTTTGTTTTTAATGAAAATAACACTAGTCTTATCTTCAGGGTTGTTATAAGGCTTAAATGAGTTAGTAAGTGTCCAATAAGTGATAGTGCCTCTTATTTGTACATAGCAGTGCAATAGATTGGATCTTAGAGTCAAATGGGCCTTTGGAAAAAAATAGTCAAAGATATTGTAGGCCAAGGGCACGTGAGTGGCTCAGTTAGTTAAGTGTTCGACTCTTGGTTTTGGCTCAGGTCATGATCTCATGGTTTGTGAGTTCGAGACCCTCTTCAGACTCTGCGCTATCAGAGTAGAGCCTTCTTGGTATTCTCTCTCTCCCCCTCTCTCTGCCTCTCCCTCATGTACATTCTCTCTTACTTTCACTCTCTCTCTCAAAATAAATAAACATAAAAAAAGATATTGCAGCCCAAACTGAATACCTCTTTCTAGATGGGTCTTTCCAGGTATTGGTACATGTCCTTCTCACTCTTAAGAAGAGAATTTCTAGGATTAGGAAGTTGTCCAAAAGCCTGAGAATGGGATTCCCATCTAACAGAGAGTTGGTAAGGAGGGAGAGATAGCACACTTTTAATTCAAGCTCATGAAAGTCAAGATGTTCAAAATGGAGAGTATTTCAAGCAGGCCCTAGTTAATTCTAAGTTTCACTGAAAGAAGAGATGATTTTTCTCGGATGCTGGCCATTCTGGAAAGATAATTGCCACTACACTTACTGAAAGATAAATTGTATAGGTTTGCAGTTTTGAAAAGATTCAAAACCTTTGCTACCCAATTTTTTTACCATGGCCAAAAGTGATGGATTTAATCATTATTCATTACTTGTAGTGGAAAGAAAATTGACTTTGGAAATCAGAGAGAATATGGATTTGAATCCCAACTCTGCTACTATGTGACTAAGAGATCAGTTAATATTTCTGAATTTCAGTTTTTCATCATAAATATAAGATGTAAAACCAATGTTGTAGACTGGTTCTGAGAAATAAGTGAGATATGTACTTCATATAAGTAGATGCTTTAAAATGCTCATTTCTGGGGGCTCCTAGGCATCTCAGTCAGTTAAGCTTCCGACTCTTGATTTCGGCTCAGGTCATGATCTCATGGTTCATGAGATTGAGCCCCTCATCAGACTCTGCACTGGCTGTGCAGAACCTGCTTGGGATTCTCTCTTCCTCACTCTCTGCCCTTCCCCTGCTTGTGCACTTGCGCTCTCTCTCAGAAATAAATAAAAATAAACATTAACAAAATAAAATGTTCACTTCTTTACAGGACTGTGATTTTTAACCTTAGCGTGGAATTTTTAGCTTCCTGTGGTGTGTCACTGGGATTTTTCTTACAGGCATGTATATTTCAACATACGTAAAACAAAACTCATAATTCTCCCACTTCTTCCTATATTTACTGTCTCTCTTAATAACATCAACAATCTTCTAATCATTCAAGTTTGATAATGCCAGTTTTGATTCCTTCTCTATCCCTAAGTCCATTTGATTCTAAGAACTGTAAGTTCTCTACCTACCTTTCCATTCCTACCTATCCTAATGTAAACCTTGATTACCTCTCTCTTAGACAGTTTTAGGATCTTTTTGACAAGTAAATTAGACTCCAGTCTTTGCCCCACTGATCAAGTTATTCACTGCTGCAGAATCAGCTTTTAAAACATGGTTCCCATTATGTTACTTGCTTTTTCAGAAACTTTCCCAGTTCTACCAAAGAGACTGTGGACGATCCACTATAGAACTCTTATCTTACAGATTTAGGTGTTGGGCTCAGGGAAATCATTTTTTTGGGAGTGGCACGTTAAGACTAGACCTTATCTCTGCTCACTCATAGGCTAGTTCTTTCCACTATTGGAATATGGCCCAAACACCTTAACATGTTTTTCAAGGCTTTTCCCATTCTGGGCCCATTCTTTTCCTACTTTATCTACCACTACTCTTGTATGTACAGCCAACTCCATTGAAGTATTCTATGCTATTTCAGCTCCCTAACAACATAATGCTGGTCTCCCTACTTGGGATGCAATTTCCTCCTCCTGGCCTCAGTTGATGAAGTTCTGCCCCTCTGTAAGTTCCAAGTCAATCTGATGTCTCTTCCCTTCCTGCCTATTAAGCCAGAAAATCAAATCCCCTACTGTTAGACCATGCACTGCCTCTAACCATATTTTGCTTCGCACTACAATTATTGGGTACATGTCAGCAAGCCCCAGCAAGGGCAGGGCCCTCTCCCTGTACTTTATAGAAAGTAGCTAGTTACTCAGTAACCTGATATCAAGAGTCCATCAAAAAGCATGTACTCATTCTCACCTTTATCTCTTTCATAGAGTGCTGCTTATCACATTACTAAGAAATAATAGTATGCTTCTGTAAAGAGAAGTGTGGTGAGGGTGTGAGCCACCTCATTCCTTGAATAAAAAGTATCTTATCCTCGCCTTAAACCAAGATAGATATTCTGACTTTTCCTGGATTTCTGGCCAATATTAATCAAAACCATGGAATTAGACTTGGAAATTAAATCCTCCCACTCTTTTTAAACCATATTCAGTCCCTCAAATAATGATTTTTCCTCTTTACAAACAAATTTGAGAACATATCTTCTATTTTTTTTCTTTGATCCAGAATTGATTGCAGTAGAAGCACTGACAACTTTGATACCCACACCTACGTTGGAAGCATAATTGTACCAGTGTCTTAAAGTGTTGTTCAGTATTTCCTAAACTTGGCTCAAAGGGTCATTATTCTGGTTTTATATAACTAAGTTTAGCGGAATTGTTTTTGCTTCTGTATCTTTTTCTTATTAGAATAAGGGCTGAAATCTTTCGTGGGTCTCTCAGATTCAACCTGGGAAGCAGATAAACATATATTTGATACATTGAAGTTTACTTCAAAGAATGGGTATAGAATTAAGATTATTTTATCCAGGAAGAGCAAGATTCTTAAAAAACCAATGTGTATCACTTACTTATTCTGTGTCAGGGTCTTTTCTTTATCTTATTTATTCCTCATAAGGATATTACGAAAGAAATACTATTGTTATGGATGAGAAATCTAATTTTTAAAAAAATTTTTTTATTAAAAAATTAAACATTTTTTTAAATGTTTTGTTTATTTCTGAGAGAGAGAAACAGCGTGAGCAGGGGAGGGTCAGAGAGAGAGAGAGATACAGAATCTGAAGCAGGCTCCAGGCTCTGAGCTAGCCGTCAGCACAGAGCCCGATGCAGGGCTCAAACCCACAAACTGTGTGATCATGACCTGAGCCAAAGTAAGACACTTAACCGACTGAGCCACCCAGGTGCCCCTAGAAATCTAATTTTTAAGGATGGAGCCAAAACTCCCACTTAAATGCATCCGTGTCTAATGCCAGAGCTCCTTACCATGAGGGGATTCTGTGTTACCTTCCAACATGGGGATTAAAACAAATAAGTAAAAACAACAAAACCCACATTGTTTACAGACAAGACTCTATTTGGAAGAACAAGTACTACCTGTGGAAAAAGTAGTGTGCTCTTTAAGGCTGCTTATCACTTACTTTGCATAACAGAACTTTTAGTGTAAAATAGCAGTCCAGGTTCCTTGGTTAAGCCCACTGTGTTCTGTGGTCAAGGTTGCTAGAAACAGTACATGGTGAACTCTGCATTCGATCAGATCAGTTATGCTCTGCAGTTGTCAAGAGACCTGCAAGTAGTACTTTTATCTATAGTTTTCACTCTTCAAATAAGGAAACTATGGACTCATTTCTAATCTTTTTTCTTTTTTTAATATTTTTATTTATTTCTAGGAGAGAGAGAGAGACAGCGTGAGCAGGGGAGGGTCAGAGAGAGAGGGAGATACAGACTCTGAAATAGGCTCCAGGCTCTGAGCTGGCAGTCAGCACAGAGCCCGACGCGGGGCTCGAACCCAGGAACCGCGAGATCATGACCTAAGCGAAAGTCGGACGATTAACCAACTATGCCACCCAGGCGCCCCGACTCATTTCTGATCTTACGTCTTCTGGACAAAAGTTGGAACTCCTTTGGTAACTACTAGGGCAAAAACTCCTTTAGCAATTTCTGTCTCCCAGACAATCCAGATTAATGGACAGGGACTAGACGATTTCAGGGGCATAGCTTTATGTATTCATTGACTTAAATGAGTTTTAGAAAAGAATTTCAGAATAGAGGTTTTGGCCCCTGAATTTAAATTACATTATACTTCGGACGCCTGGGTGGCTTAGTCGGTTAAGCGTCTGACTTTCGCTTGGGTCATGATCTCACAGTTCGTGGTTTCGAGCCCCGCGTCGGGCTCTGTGCTGACTGCTAGCTCAGGGCCTGGAGCCTGTTTCAGTCTGTGACTCCCTCTCTCTCTGACCCTCCCCTGCTCACGCTGTCTCTCTCTCCTAGAAATAAAAATTAAAAAAAAAAAAAAATACATTATACTTCCCCAAGTTGTTAAGATTGTTAAAATGTAAAAATAATAGTAGCCAGTTCTCATATATATACTTAAATTGCTCTTAATACATTATAACCTACTTAATATTTTAAATATATCCACTCCTTAAATCCATAGCAAAACACTAATAATGGCAAGTATTATTCTCATTTTTCAGTTGAAGAAACAAACTATATGTACTAAGTTATATAGTTTGTTCAAGGTAATAGAAGTTATGATTTTAACTGAAGGTTATCTCAACTTAAAGCCCTCACTCTTTACATTATACCATGCTATGTCCCCAGCTATCTCTCCAAGCCAAGTGGTCAGTGATGCAGTTAGGGGAGAAAGGGCAGCCAAAAGAAACTTGGATGTAGGTAGAACTTAATTTGGACCTGAATCTACACAGATGCCAAGTGTACTTCCCCTGGGATGTAACTCAGAAGAGTGGAACATTTCACTCCAAATGTGACTTTGGAACAGATT